AATACGTAGTGTCGTTTTTTGACAGGTATCTAATCTCTCTCTCTCTCTCTAAATTTAAGAGCTATGCTCTTGTCAGTGCAGTCTATGTATCCACCTCCATCTCCCTCTATCCTCCGCCAACTCTTTGAGCCTCCTGTACAACTCGACGCCAACCTTTTCCTTGATTTGCTTCATGTAGGCTATCCTCGGTCTTCCTCTTCCTTTCTTTCTTTCCTCCCACTTTTTCCTCAATGATATTTTTTATGAATTCGTCGTGTCGCACAAGGTGGCCGAACATTCTTCCCCTTCTGTTCTCTAGTGTGAAATATGAAACAGATCTTTTCATCAAAAATTTCAAAGGAGATTGGATGCGAGACGTGGACTTTGACGCAAAGATACAGAGAAATATTGGAAGCATTTGAGATGTGGTGCTGGCGAAGGATGGGAATAATTAGTTGGACAGAGAAACTAACAAATGAAACGGTATTGGACATTGTGGATGAACGGAGAACTTTGCTCGACACACTAGAGAACAGAAGGGTATCTAATCAATGTTTGTCAATGAAACGCATTTGAAGCCAATTTTGTTGTAATACTTACTATACACTGATTTAATAGAAAATAATTGTGAATGTTTTTATTATTTAAGCATTTAACTCCTAGGTGTTGAAATCTAAAGAAAAGTTTGCTAGAAAAAAATCCATGCAGACCAGGCAACAGTACTTTTCTTTAGATTTAATATTTGTGAAATTCAAATGCATGGTCGGATGTATAGCCGTCTCTTTTCCTCGCGCTCCGTACCTGCTATATTGCTAACAGCGCATTCAGAATTACGAAATAGTCATAGAAATAAAGTCTATCTTCTTCCGCCTATAGCAACAAGTAGTAAAATTTTACAAGCTTGCATTTCAAACTGTCATAAATGTTTGACGCATGCATTTAAATTATGACCTTATTTAATATCCATTAATAATGAATTTGAATATTCAAATAATGCCTTATATGGTTTTTGACTGCACAATTATCTTACAGAGCTTTGTGGATCATTCAAGGTACCTATTGGAGAGTTTTGGGTTTCAACCATGATTTTGTTTGCGATGTTGTATCTAGGGTACTAAATATTGTTGACTGGATATTATCCACTGATAATAACGCACCTATGGGGAGATGTCTCAGGCTCATTATATACATAACAAGGCAATGTATGAAATGATGATAGACCAACCATTTCATACAATTAGCCTAAATAACCTAGGTAGTCTATGAATTATACACCTAGTGGCATATACACTTGTATTGCAATGTTGAGTCCACTAATGTGGCCTTAACTGTATTTTTGTCATAAATTATTTAGGCTAAGGAATTTACTACCTATTACACATCTATTTTTATAAATAACTCTCTAGAAATAACAACATGGAATATTTATGAAATAAACATTGAACTTTAAAAGTAATGGGCTATTGACTCAAAACCCAACCTGAACAAGACAGGGATAGCATACGAGGAACAGAGATGCTTATAGCAAATTTAAAGTTTTTGCAGTTTGCACAATGAAAGTAGATGTTTCTTCTAAATAGCTGCTTACAAGAGTTGAGACACATGGGCTACAGATTTTTTTAATATTACCTGGAACCTGGTTTGTGCCAGTCAGTATCCAGCCCAACTTTCATTATTATTTTAACTTATTTGTGTTATTGTTCTAAACCCAGTCGTTTCTTTATTTCATAGTATTCTAATTTTGCCTTATCTAAGAGGATTTTATTTCGTTCTTCCTCCATCTCAGCAGCCCGTTTCTTAATTTCTTGATTCTCCAACTAGAAAAATATATAAATTTTTTATCACCATTTATTATATTAAGTGAAATAAAAACTTGGTATCCCTTTTGTGCAAAAAATGTGAAACTTATGTATCACCTCAAGTTTATCTGAAGAAGCAGTATAGATAGCTTATATTTTTGTGCATTAGAAATAAATTATTAAAAGAACATTGCATACATAACAGTTCCAAATATTACATATTTAATTATGAAGACATTCCAAGGAATTATAAAGAAACAGAGTGTGAAAGGTACCTTTGTTTTCAAAATTTGAAGTTCAATTTTTTTCTTTACTTCAAAATGCTTAATTCTCATAACTCCTTCTCTTCTAATGTAATCAGATGGCTTGCGTTTCCTAGCCTGATTAAAATTGTTGTCTTTAGATGTTGCAGTGGAACACAGTTCTCTAACTTCATCACTTGCTAAAACATAAAATATAATAAGAATGTGGATTTTAATTTAATACATTAATAATTTTAATGTGTGAATATACTTATATGTATCAAAAATTTAATACATCAACTAAAGTATTTATCACATATTCCATACCTGTGTTCTCTTCAAAATAAACATCAGCTTCAATACAAGAAGTCTGACTATCTTCTAATTCATGGATGTCATCTGCATTTTCTTTGCTTTGTGATAGATTAGTTTTATTTTCATTTGAAAATGAATTCGTCCCATCACTATCAAAAGAGTTGTTGATTTCACAGATTGCAGGAGCAACCTGAAAAAAAACATACATGTAAAACAATTAATTGGAATATAATAAAATCAGTATTCCAAATTTAAAGTTACCTCTTCTATCATGCTTATTAAAGCTCCCTGATGCGAAACAGGTAAAAAATCTGATGGGCCATCACCAGTCCTTATTATGTTCCCTCCTCGCTCTGTAGCTCTTGTTTTTCGAGCCATAGCTTTTAGGTTGTCCCATGCCCTCTTTAATGTAACTGTATCACGCTGAAAAACATACAATCTGATTACTTTACATATTTTAAATTTACAAATAGTAAACTAAAATGATTAAACACTTATATTGTGCAGGTTATACCTACTTTGTGTACAAAAGCATTGGAATTGAATTCGTCCGTGACAGAAGTCCAGGCCATTTTTTTCTTCAAAATAGATTTTCCGTCTATTTCTTTCGATTCAATTATGGGTCTCTTTTTAATTAGTTGTATTAATAACGACTTTTCATCGGCAGTGAAGTTCGCAACTCTCTTGCGTTTTTTATTTTCCTCCTAATATGAAAAATAGTTTTAGACAATTGACGAATTTAAGTTTCATTTATGGAAGGTCTGAGAACAATATAACTTACCATTTTTACAAGATATTTACGACTGTTCCAATCGTTTAATCCCGGATGTAAACAAACCACTTAGCGTTCAAACCAAACAATATTTCATACTAATTAGTAAAAAGCAAAAAACTTATTGTGAATTCTCACCATACGTCACTCATTTTACTTTAGTTTTGTAACCAAATAATGTAAATTTCGCCTGTAATTAAGCCAATAATACATAATAAAGAAGCATTTCTCCATTTTGTTACCTACCGCGATGTCAACTTGTCAGCTGTCATTTTATTTTTTTTACTTGCATAGGATACTTCGTCCATACAGCCTTAGTGATATTTTTTTTTCAACGAATTCAATACTGTAACCATAATATATAAATTTTAAGTAATTTTGTGATATTATTAATTTACGATAGTAATTCTATGGGTGGACACCCAACCAGGCAGGCGATTTACAGTTTAAAAGGCACTAATCTCTAAACACGACTACTCCCCGCACAAGCTCCGCGTTAAAAATCAGTCTCCACTTGTTTTTGGCAGGTTGTCCACGGGTAGATGACATGTTATCTACGTAGCCAGTGAAACTCTCATGTTACTCTAAGCTCTTAGTCAAAGAGTGAAAGTCGTATAGTCAACGACCTGACATCACGCGATCCACGAATCCACTACGTGTATTCCACTAATTGCCGAGAAGTCTAGTGTTTTGTTCGCGCTTGACCTACTCAATCATAAAAGCATACTTATACGACTAATAAAGAAGGTTCTTTATTAGTCGTATAAGTATGCCTTTTTAGCGCGTGCGTGCTTTGTTAGAACGTTCTTTTATGACTAATTGTTCCTTTGCGTAGACAGCTGAATCGAAGTTGTTGCTTAAATAAATGTTGTTTGATCTCTTGTTATTATTTGACGTTCCTAAATACGGTCTGGTTCTAGCATGATCATAGGCATACTAACTCATCTCAGAATTAATTATAGTCATTCATTTATTTATATTGTAATCTGTGGTGTTAATATATAATATTAAAAAATATGGTCATTCAATAAATATTCTGGGACCTAGATACCTATACAAACAGGACTGAGTTCTATTACTGACAAAACAGGGCGATTGAGAAATAAAGCACAGAGGCCTAACATCCCTTTCTAATAGGATGACCATAGCTTTTATATTTGAGAATTTAAACTTAGTTACTTACTTTTCAACTAACAAGTTTGTATCTTATTACAACTATACGTAACTGTTTTTAAAGGTTGAGGAGTATACAGCCAGTTTCCAGTTTCAATCAAACCAAGCCATGATATTTTTAATTATTAAAACTAAAATAACAACTGTTGCTAAGTAACGGAACCAGATTATACTTACCTTGTACTAAAGCTTGATTATTGAAACTGGCTGTTAATTAAAATCATAGTCAACCTTAATACGAATAATATGAACCCATAATGATCGCAAATGGGAAATAGAGAGAGAGCGATGCTCGGTTTCCCTGCGTTATAGAATCAGAAATGAGAAAATCCGCATTAGAACTAAAGTACGTACTCAACCGACATCGCTCGAAGCGTTGCTCAGCTAAAGTGCTAGGGGACCGATGGCCTTTACTGGAGTGGCGACCACTATTGGATGGCGGTCAAGGGACAAGTCCACCATTAGGTGGACCCACGATCTATTAAAGGTAGGTAAGGTAGCACGAAGCTGCTGTCTGCGGGTAGCTCAAAATTGATCAGTGGGGAAATCTTTGAGGAAAGCTATATGTCTTATCGCATTGCTGAATGATTAAAATGATGAATTAATAGCACTGTGCATAATATCGCTATATTGTAAAAATGTCTCGCTGTAACAAAATGTTTTGGTATTGTACGACCTCATGAAGAAATAAAGATATTAATATAATTATTTCTTTTACAGGTAATCCAGTACTCACTGAATAGCGTGGACAATATGAGTCAGTCCGGTGCTAAAACCCCGTGTTCCATCAAGCTGCCTTCAGTGAAACCACTGATAAAGTTGTCTCAGCCGTTGGGCGTTTGCGCGGGACGGTCGCACGCTGTAGTGTGGAACGCGAGGGCAGTGTACACGTGGGGTGTGAACTTGGGACAGTTGGGACACCCACCAGAGGAGAAAGTGGTGACCGCGCCGAAACGAGTGAGTTTTCTAAACGCTTTTTATAAGTTTTTTTCTAGATGTAGGAAATTAACTCACCCCACCTGATGTTAAGTGTTAATGGGGCCGTTGCGAAGACCGAAATTCTGTCGACTTTTCTACTGTAGAAACAGGACTTTTCTACAATAGGAAGGAGCTTATTTCTTGGCTACGATTTTCTGTGATGTGGAGGTTGCTTTCGAAAACGAGCGCTTTAGTTCGACCTTATTTGATGCCAATTTTGGCCTTGACTTCGCTTTTTAGCAGCAGCATTTGATAACTTCTTCTTTGATTATTTCTAATCCAACTCTTAGTTATTATAAAAATTATAGGATGTGGAGAGGAGAACTTTGGTTCATGAAGCAACGTCATTTTACTTTGTAAGTTAAGTATGATGCATATTAATTACTTGTATTTATAAGGTTTTAGTATAGCAAATTATACATATTTTTTTAATATTATGTTACGTTTTCATAACCCATTTCAGGAGAAATAATAAAACAATGTTTCTGATTGCCAAATACCAGTTTCCAGAAGTGAAACATCTATCTGTTATGAGAATAATCGTTAGTAGTTAATGATAAATTAATATTCAGGTGGCCATATCGATAAACAACAAAGAAGAGGCAGGGCTGCAGCTAGCGAGCGCGACGGACGCAGCCACTGTCCTGACCACTAGTCGCGGAGATGTGTACCTTCTGCACAAGCACATCTGCAAGAAGATAGCCATCAAGTAAGTAGACCAATTATTACAGGATCTACCGCCTACCGCGTGAAAAAAAGCGACTTCTACATTGTCCGGCTCGAAGGACCAACTATCTCCTTCCGCAGAGTTCGCACACGGTATCTTAACGTAAACATATTCGTAATACACGCGTAGAACGAAAGCTATGATGATCGAAAAAAAAACAGCTGTAAAGGAACGCCCTTTCTACCCAGCGCTACTATTGGATTTTATTACGCTGTGATATCGCATTAGTTTATTTTCATTGGTTCTTATATAAAATATTCACCGAAATTGGACCTTTTTTGGTTCTTCTGTCATTCATAATAGAGTCATTGTGTGTTTGTGTAAATAAATTGCTTGGTAGGTCGTATAATATTAATTTTATTAATCGAATGTATTGTTAATGAATTATTTAAAAAAAATAGTTTCCTGTACTGATTCACCACATACACATTTTAACAAAGTATGCAAAATCACATAGTTTTCCATGAGCAAAATATGCTTAATGTGAAAGTTTTTCAATTCACATTATTTTTGGTATTTTAATAATACTGTCTGTCCCAGCGAACTTCGTTCCGCCATAGAAAAATAGGGGTTGGTGGTAGAAGGGTGAAAATTTAGGGATGTATGTATTTTTGTATGATGTATCATAGAAAATAAAAACAAAAAATTTGTCAAAAAAAATAAGGTTGGACCACCCTTAACATTTAGGGGGATGAAAAATTGATGTTGTCCGATTCTCAGACCTCCTGAATATGCATATAAAATTTCACGAAAATCGGTCGAGCCGTTTCGGTGTTAAATTAAAAAAAAAAACAAAATTCAATATCGTTTATTCAGGCTAGGCTCTTACAAGCACTTGTGAATGTCGAAAACCTACTAGTAGTTCAATAACGCACGCCGTGACACGAGAATTTTATATATTAGATATAACTACGCATCGGAGCTCATTGAGTGGGTATTTTTTTCAGGCAAATTAACCTCCGTCAAGTTTGCGTGGAAGCTAAGGTGAGCGAGCAAGGGTCACATTCGCGGGTGACTGTGCTACTGCTCACCAACGTGGGACAACTGCTCATATGGCAGGACACGACCAACCAATTGACCAGGTTGTAATAAAGCAAAAGCATATTAAATAAATAAATATTTTCAACACTCACACTATTTTCAACAATTAATTAGCCTAGCCCCAAAGTAAGCACTGTAAGGCTTGTGTTATGGGATACTAGGGTAACGGATAGAATACATATATTGTATATATATAAGTATATTTAAATAGAAATACTTATTTAATATTCATGGCTGGAGTACAAATGCTCGTATTTATCACACAAACATCTGCCCCCACCGGGATAAGAACCCGGGACCTCTCGAGTCGGCGACACCATGAAACCAGCGTACAAACCACTCGGCCACAGAGGTCGTTATTTTTATCTACCTTTCTACTTTTTTACTGACTAGTGGCTCGCCCTAGCTTCGCTTCGGTGCAGAGCTGTAACTAAAATGACTCTTCATATTTATAAACCTTCCGTGAAATAATGATATATTTACTAATATCATAAAACTGGAGTTTGTTTGATTGTGTTTTTTGTTGAACGCGCTAATCTTTTAAAGTACTGGTCCGAACCCTAACTTTTTTGAAAATACTGGATAGCCCTTGATCATCAGGGAGATAATGTATAGTTCTAAATGTGAAAGAATTGTTCAAATCCATTCAGTAGTTTCGGAGCCTATTCAATGCAAACAAACAATCAAATCCTTCCTCATATAGATTCAGAGATCTGTAGGGAAAACCTACTGTTTATCCCAAAAATAGCAAATTATCGTAAATGTAAGAAGAGTTCATAATCGAAAAAATTACGACAAAAGGTGTCACTTCAGCCTTCCAATAATCATCAGACTATTAATGCCCCCACTGCTGGGTCACGCACAAGTCTTCCCTAGGATGGCAAAGGGAGAATGCACCATGACCCACCACGCGGGACCAGTGCGGATAGGTGGGTGCTAACAACTGCAGATGCAGCCGGGACCAACGGCTTAACGTGCCTTCCGAAGTACGAAGGAGCTCGAGATTATAAAGGTTTTTGGTCACCCATCCCATTGGATGACCGGTCATTGCGAAAGTGGCTTAACTTTCACTATCGCAGACGGAACGCGCTAACCATCTGCGCCATCGAGGTTTTACTTCAGCAACAGCCTATTATTTATCCTACTGGGTGTGTACAACTACAAACCCTCCCCATTTATTTTTTAAGAAAGTAAATTATCCCAGGTTTAAGTGGAGTCCAGTCATGAAAAAAAAATAAGTGTCGCTCCAACCATCCTATAGGGTGCTGAAACTGAAATTCTTTGAACGAAAACCTGAAAATGGTATATTTTCGTTTTCCAAACTTCTTTACCAGGCTTTTAGAGAGAGCCAAAAAGGTAAGTTTCAAATTTGATAATAGATGTAAGTAAGTATATCTTTTCGTTTTCTCCTATCAGGTGCGTCTTCGGCTTGAATCACCAAACAGTGATTACGCAAGTGGCTTTAACCCACGACGCGCTTTATTTCACGACTAAATATGGCGAAGCGTACATCGGCACGATATCGCGTAAAACCACGCCCACCCAGCCTCAGCCAATCAGGAGAGAGAAGGAAAGGGATAGCAACAAATCTGCCCTTGTGAAGTTTTTAGAGAAGGACGATTGTACGCCGGTCAGAATAGCCAAGATACCGAATGTGCATAGAGCTGTGTCTATTGCAGTTGACAGTGAGGGTCTGAACTTCGCTTGCTTGCAAGTAAGTACCTACTTACTTATATTTTTAGACTAAGTAAAAGATACTTTTTACGTTTTTCTAGTTATATTTTCTTAAGGTTTACACATCAAGCAGTTACATGCTTAAAAAATAAAAATTATAACTAAAAGATACTTTACAATTATAAATTAAAAATAAGAATAGAATTAAACTCTGATTTTTAAAACGACGGAATTTTGACAGCTCCAGCATGCGGGACAGCACTATACACGTAAAAGAGAAGGAGATACCGTATCTCTTTTTTACGTATATAGTTGTCCCGTCCGTTTTAAAAATCAGAGCTTAATTATATTCTTATATTCCTCTTTTTATTAAATAATTGTAAAGTATCTTTTACTTAGTCTAGCTAAACTCTGAGCGCTCGTAAAAGCCAAAAATTTTGCCCACTTGTTATTAAAGAAGTATCGACATGATGCAGAAAAAATGGTATTAATTCGTTTTGTTTCGTATTTCATACCGTAATGTCATTTAAGAGAATAAAGCATGAAGTCACAATCGCAGTCGTTCAGTTTTTTAGGCATGTTTGAGTAAAGTATTCCAACAAACTAACACATTTATACTGGCACTTCACATTATTCTATCTCGGTCACTAGCAATCCCTTCTTTTCGTTTCCTATAGATCATGACAAGGTAGGTTAAAATATAAATTGACACTGTAATTATTTATGTTAATTGTGTAGTTAATATAATGTTTAACTTGATTAATAAGATATGAATGAGAAGTAACAGTATAATTCCATGGTTTATTTTGGCTTTCGAATATTTCTGAATACTTAATGTCTCATGGTTTGCTTTATTAATTATAATCAACCGAGACCTGGGGGCCAATCGCCTAACTGGATTGCTTTGGAAAACGCTATCGCTTACGATTTCATTTTGTTATTTCTAGCCGCCTGAGGTTTTCAAATGCCTCGCGCTCTTTTTTTTTCTTTTGAATTGGTAATAACAATGTTAAAGAAAATGAGCGTGAGGTATTTGAAAACCTTCGGCGGTTAGAAATAACAAAATGAAATCGTAAGCGATGGCGATTTCCAAAGCAATCTGGTTAGGCGATTGGCCCACTGGAAAAGTATATAATTTACTAGTGGCCCGCCCTCGCTTCGCTTCGGTGTAAAGCTGTAGTGTAGACTATAGTTTTTGTTCTCAGGCTTGTATTATACACAATGACATTCTTTTAATACCCAATTACAATAGGCACGCGCCGCCAAGCCCGGTAGCGTCGGAACCGCTATGTCCCTGAATTTTAAATTTGTAATATCTTCGAAAATATTCATTTAAATTATATGCGTTAAAGGGCCAAATTGTTCTATATTAAATGCACAATGTATTTAAGGTACTTAATTGGATAAGGATGAATGTTATATTGCTTAAAATCGCTTCGTAAATAATCTATTATTTCTCGTAAAAAGTATAGGATAAAAATTGGTTATTGTGGGTTATCCTTAAGAGATAGACATATACCATCGCGGACTTTTTTGTATACCTTTTTAAGGTGTACAATACTGTAGTACATTATTTTGATCTATCTCGTGGGGTTCAGCCAGCGTTTGCAATGTAAGCTCAAAAAATGTGTTTATTTACGACCTTACATTAAAAACCTCTAAAATTATCAGTGTTTCTCTACTAAATTATGCATGTATTATACATATAACCCTTCCTCTTGAATCACTCTATCTATTAAAAAAAACCGCATCAAAATCCGTTGCGTAGTTTCAAAGATTTAAGCATACAAAGGGACATAGAAGAAGAATATCAAACTATGTATTGACGGCTTAAGTGACTGAGTATCCGGACAAACCCAATGTGAGGTTTTGTGGCACTTTTTATTCATTACTGTATTTTATGTATATTATCAAATAAATGAAAAAAGAAGGAAAGACTGCTATCAAGTCTACTAATAGCAAAAAAAATTAACATGTGAAGTTCTAACATTTATAAATAAATAATAATAATAAATATTTTTTTCCAACACACCAATTAGCCTAGCCCTAAAGTAAGCACTATAGCGCTTGTGTTGTGATACTAGGGTACGGTACTTATATAGAAAATATATATTAAACATCCATGACTGGAGTACAAATGCTCGTATTCATCACACAAACATCTGCCCCTACCGGGATTTGAACCCAGGACCTCTCAAGTCGGCGACACCATGAAACCCGGAGTACAAACCACTCGGCCACGGAGGTCGTCAATTTAATTAAATAATATAAAGATTAATATAATAGCTTTTTCTTTCGTTTTTTCTGTTCACTGTTATGACAATTTATGCTTAGGTAAAGCCAAAATGTGGACTCAGATCCTTACCAGAGCTGTCCCCATCAGGGCTAGCGAAACACATGGAGTCGCTGATGGAGTCAGCTGCGGACGGCGATCTACTCCACGACGTTGTGTTCAAGGTAAACATTAATATAATAATAATAATGTTTATTTCAGATCTAGATCCATAGAAATGTTAGTAACAATCAAACCTTAAAAACTATGTTAGTACATTTTAGAACAAAGTTAATTCATATTCATACCCTTTGAGGCACCGGTCATATGGACGTGTATATGTACCCAGTGCCTCAGAATGGCACACGCCGGTTTTTTTCCCGGTAACATCAAAAATAATAATTAATGGCATGTCTCAAAAATATGGTACCTTTGACAAGAAATCGCGTCTTACATTTATCGCAACAATTTTTAATAATTTAGAATCTAGTTCAAAGCGTATTATCCACCGAACTGCGTTTTAAACAATGAATAAATATTTATAAAAAAATTATGTATGGTTCAAAACAGTTTCATAATTTACTTTTTGAAGTAACCGATAAACCTTTATATTTGAACATAAATTATTAAGGTTCAACTCACCCTGGCGAAGCGTCGCTAATTCAGGATACCTTAACTGTGGTAAAATAGAGATGAATTTGCTACAACAGGCGAAAAAGGAATTTGCGCCAGTGTGAGTTGAACTCGTTTTCTCATTATAATCGCAATTATCATACTATCTAAATTTGTCTCTCGATTTTAACATAACGTGCGTACAGCATAACATGACAAATATAGTTAATTAAAACTTAAAATTATCCCAACAGGTTGGCACAAAACTCTTCCCTGCTCACATATTTATTGTAGCATCAAGCAGCGAATTCCTATACAAACTGTACCAGGAACAACTGAAGTTGTCCGATGAAAAACCCACCATTACATTAGACCATATACACCCAGACGTTTTCCAAAGGATATTGAAGTTCGCGTACACTGGCAGTTGTGACGTGGCCGAACTCGGACCGTGCGCACTGAAGATAAGGAAGGAAGATCTACCTACAGTGAAGAAGGAAAAGGACAGCGTGGATGAGGAATTGGAACTCATTGGTGAGACTTTTTTTTTACCATAGTAGCGGCCATAGAGATATCATAATAGAGTAGGGTAGATATAGACTCTACTACAAGGGGAAGTGTCCCTCTAATAGAAAGAAGAAGAGAGACCGCTAGCTTTCTCTCTCTAATCGCACATGCGCATTGGCAACAGTAAGCATTCTACTATTTCGATGTGAAGCTTGGACCAACTATTGAACTACGACTACGACTGCACGTGCGTCACAAGAGAGAGAGATAGCTAGCGGTCTGTCACCTTCTTTCTCTTTCTACTAGACGGACACTTTTAGAGCCGCTTTCCCCACTCTATTCGTATACCTCTATGGTAGCGGCACGCTTTGATGGCCGTTTTGACGTTTGTGCGTCCATGAAATTTTATATTCAAGAAGAATGCAATAAATGAATATGAGTATTCTATATTCGAAGTTAGTTCCAAATTTGAAATAAATAATTATCGTTCTTGGTTGTCACTAGAGACGCGTATTTGGTTTTTCGTTTATATCGAATCGGTAATTTTAGGGCGTAGATTTTTTTTTAGAAATCTATAATTACAAAAATATTTTTTAAGTATACAACAATTAAATTAATATCATTTTTAACTCAAAAGCACCAGCCATTTGAAAGAATCTTGAAAAAAAATAAGTAAATTAAATTTATGAATTATTTTGTTGTTATTATCATTATGAACTGTTATAGCATACAATCAATAATATAATTATAGTGTACTTATTCTCACATAACTCGGCATTTGTATTTACCGAAATTTAAAATGTAAACAGATGAAATTAATAAGATCTTTACATATCCCTGAGCGTGTGTAAATATTTATGTTTTCGTGTTATTCAATTTCTATAAAGGCGGTATCAGACGGTTCACTTTTCGTTCATTTTTGTCTTTCATTCGGCATCTTTCACTCGAAATGATTCGTCTGAACCCCAAATGAAACAAGAGTGCCGAATGAATTCATTAATGAACCGATCCGACTTTGTTAGATTTTATCATTCGGCATCTTTCACTCCAACTGCGAAGGAACGAAAAATGAACGGTCTGCACACCGAGAGAACGTTCACTCGGATTCGGCCATTTTGTCTCGAGCCCGGTAGCAGACGCACGTCCCGTTGCGTCATGGAAAATTGGAAGCAAAATGATGTTCAAGTAGAATAAGCAAAGTACGCTGCTGTTTTTGGAACATTTTAAGAATAATCAATGTTTATGGAATCACAAACTTGACGAATACAAGGATAGGACATTACGTACAAACGCTAAAAAAATCCTAATTAGTGATTTAAACCTCGAGGTTACTGAAGAAGACATCAAACATAAAATAAAAACTAAACGGAACCGCTTTACAACTGAATTAACAAACATAAATCCGTCTATTAAAAGTGGTTGCTCTTCTGACGATATATATCGTGTGCCTACACTGTACTGGTCATAAACTAACATTACTAACTTTTGGATTAAATGATCACAAATTAAACGGATTCCGAGATGCACGACTTCATCCTATGACATATTTAAAGTAAATATTAGATGAACGTTCTCTTCTTTGTCATTCGCAGTAAGTTGTGTGAACATGGAATGAAAGAAAAATGAAGCATTCATTCATGTGAATGTTCACTCGAGTGTACCGTCTGGTATCACCTTAACAGATTTACTTTTCACATCACTATGCCATTATGGAGTTCCGCGACTATAGGTGTAAATATTCGACCCGACTCCGTCTAGCTGTAAAGTAAAACCGATGAAAAACTTTAAGAAAGTAGAAGCGATTATGCCGAAAGTAATTCATGATGTTACGTAGATACACGTGCCAATTAAATAGGAGGGAAATTCAATTCCTACGTTTCCATCAAACTTTGCCAGGTATTTGACAGTATTAAAACTAAATTACCTTAAACATCTCATCTGTATTTAAAATGAATAATGACAGTTATTTTTACTATCTCTATTTGTAACATGACTGAAAACGGCTACGATTGGCGAAACATAAAATGACGTCACTTATGTAAACTTTCGGTCGAAATGAAATTACTTGCTTACCGTTTGATGTCAGCTTTGTGACGTTACACGTAGGTAAAACTCCATATTACCTATCTAGAGAAACGATTCAGCAGCACATTTGAAAGCAGAATTTTGAGATTTAGTTTTTCTGATGAATTACTTACACAACAGGATGTAAAATAACCTCTTTTTATAGATTCCATATACAAACTCCGTATACGAGTAAATAACGAAAGATTGTTTTCAAAAAGTCGAAAAATACTCTATTCTTATTTCCTGGGGCACTTGCCTTCTCTGCCTGTTTGGTAAATTGGTGCCTGAATCCTGGAATTTAACGTAAATTTTGAGTTTCATTGTATCTTAATATAGAGAACACGACTGAAATATCTGCGTACGAAGTGTAAATGCGTAAGCACGGCCGCGTCGTAGCGTAGAACCCCCGCCGAGCTACTCCCACTGTGACACCGTGAAGCTCGTGCAGGCTGCGGCGTAGCGGCTCAACTTCATGGTGCTTACGTTTAACGTTCAACCAATCCTCTTGCTTACGTATCTTTTCTTCTCTCTCTCTATTTGAAATATACAGTCAGGTCATAAGTATTGTCACACAGTAAAAACTTTTCTTTTAGAATGCTGGCCACCAAAAAGTTTATTCAATTCGAATTTCGAATTGTTCATGAAAATAAAAATGTATACTTTTTAGAATTTTACTCATTTTTAAATATGGAGTGGATGCTTAAAGAAGACCGTGTTGCAGTTATTGCGTTGCATCGTTGCGGTTACGCGCCAATTCAAATTTTTGACATACTGAAAAATTTTAATATTTATTTATTTATTTATTTATTTATTTATTTTTAGGGAAATAACAGCATTAATTTTTACATAAAAAATATAACATTAGTTTAAACAATTGCCTAGGTAATTTCCACTATTAATTATCTCACATAGTGTCTAATAAACACGAGAGAAAAAAGAAACAATTTTTGGTATCATAATGAACATAAACAAAACAAAAAGAAATAAGAATTTTGTGCCTAAAACGAGTTAAAAAATTAGTTTTTTAAATTTCAAAAAATTAAGATTAAATATATCAATGTGACTATATTTAGAGTTATATGATTTCATAGCTCGCACAATGTAGCGATTACTTGCATAATTAGTCCGACCCGCGGGAATGCAAAACGTATCACGTGCTCGTAGATTTGCTCTTGGACACTTTAGCAAAATTTTACTTAAAAGATATGAAGAATCGACAAGACCATTTATAACCTTGTGAAGCAAGACCAAGTCTCTGCACTCTCTTCGGTGTGATTCGATATAGCCAAAAGATTTGTTTATCGTACCATCAAACGATACAAGGAAGACTCTAGTGTAGATGGCAGGTCAAGAAGTGGTCGCCCTCGGTTTGTTAGGACTCCAGCAGTGATAAAAGCTGTGAAGGCGCGAATTCAAAGAAATCCCAAACGTAAGCAGAAACTGTTGACACTGTTGTTGGCCCTTCAGATGGGGTTAAGCAGAACTACGGTGAAAATGGTGTTAAATGAAGACTAAGGGCTTCAGGCATATCGAAGAAAAACAGGACATCATTTGAATGCTCGTCTAATGGACCTGAGACTGAAGAGATGCCGCGCTTTGTTGAAGCGGTACGCGGGAAAAAAAAGGGAAAATCTTTTTTCGGATGAAAAAATTTTTACCGTAGAAGAGAGCTACAACAAACAAAATGATAAGGTGTACGCACACAGTAGTGAAGAAGCGAGCAACCGTATTCCGCATGTCCAATGAGGTCATTTTCCATCCTCGCTCATGGTATGGTCTGGAGTTTCTTATTGGGGCTTAACAGGGGTACATTTTTGTGAGAAAGGTGTAAAAACGAATGCAGTTGTGTATCAAAATACAGTCCTGACGAACCTTGTGGAACCTGTTTCTCATACATAACAGGCACTGGGTATTCCAACAAGAACGGAGGTCATTTTGAATAAACTTTATTGTCATAAGAATCTATGTTTTGTTAATTTCATTTTGGTATATAAATGGTTACATAATGAATAAACTTGTTTCAATTATTTTATATTAAACATGTGACAGAATTTATGACCTGACTAGATAGTTATCCACATCAGAGTGTAGTGCTGATCCGATCCAGTTACAAGCTTACTTATGCATAATGTAAGGTGGTTATCGAGATGATAGGCTATACGGTAGTATGTGCACAGCACAGACATTATCAGCTGTGCGTCATAAATCAGCTGTGCTTTAAGAAATCATGTAATTCCTGTGACGTAATAATTGTCTGGCCTCATTTCTTAACTCAGCCATCGCACGCAATCCTGGCACTAAATTAAAGTATCTTTTAGAGAACTCGTCTGAAATATCGGCGTACGAAGTGTACAAACATCAGGACAAGCGTAAGCACCGCCGCAGCGTGGAGCCCCCGCCGCGCCATTCCCACTGCGACCCCGTGAAGCTCGTGCAGGCTGCGGCTAAGCGGCTCAACTTCATGGCGCTACACAAATTGCTGGACAAATTCTAGTGAGTCAACCGACAATAATTGCTCTCTTACAATACGAAGTTCATTTTCGGGGAGAGAAATGTTATAGGTTTTTTATAACAAATTGCTACATAGTATTTGTGATAGTATTTAAAAATAATCAGATGTCTGATGACCATTGCCGCGTCTAATAATAATAATAATCTTTATTTAGACCAGCATATAAGTAACATTACGTCTTATAAACTACTAGTGGCCCGCCCTCGCTTTGGTTCGGTGTAGAGCTGTAGTGTAGACTATAGTTTTTGTTCAAAGGCTTGCATTATACACAATGACTTTCTTCATAATACATAATTTTAAACCATCCTGTAACGCTCCTTTTAGTGGATCATAGTAAAATACTAGATTTACAGTTACAAGTATTTATTAAACTTAGATGTAGGTAGGCACATAGACTAGCAGACAACAAGGGTGTGGGTAAGTATATTCACGAGCCAATATGAGTAACAAAGTCTGCTCCACAATCACTGTCCTGAGGTTGTCGGATGTGCCAGCAGGATTTCCGGTAGGTAGCCCTTGCAGCACAGGCAGCAGGTAGGTAGGCAGGTAGACCCAGGTAGTATGGGTAGGTTTCCCGGGTAGCCGTCACCTCTCGGTAGGTTAGATTCCCGGATCAGTAGGTACCGGTACGGTGAACCCTGGAATCGTAAATATCTGACATTTTACAATTGTCCGGATTTCATAGTTTGACTGCAGCATTTCGTGTTTGCTAAGCATTTGGAAGCAAGGGGAACAATTGATTGGGATTCGCATAAATAGAATCAATGATGAGGCAAAAATATGATTGAATGAAAGAATAAAAAAATATGTAGGTAAGAACACAATATGTTTAAAAAAAAAATGGTTGCCTGTAAAGTCGGTTTTACGGGCGAAGATTTTACGTGACAACGTCTTTTTCTCGGTAGAATATTTATTGATATGAATATAATTAAATTGCACAATAGGAACAAGGAATTGAATGAAAATAAGAATTGCACAAATTTTAACTATAGAAATATATATAATACGTCAAAAAAACATATTACAATGCATTGTGCTTGTGAATACCATCGTAGCATGCAACCACGCTACGACGATTCGTAGCAAACTTGCTACACGGCTACGGGGTTCCAGCATGCTACGAGACTCATCGTAACGTTACCGAGCGTTACACTTTTTCATAAGTGACTCCCAGCCGCAACCTAATTTAAGACGTTGTCACGTCAACAAAGGAATTTTCGACTAAAGATTCGGAACGTTTTACAATGTAGTAATCGTGAAATTTTCACGATTCTAATACAAAAAGATATATTACATATTTTTTAAATGTATAACAACAAGTGACACATGAATAAAGTAATTTAATCAACTACATAATAAGAATCACCTTAGGCCCGTAAGCCGTAACGCAGGTACACACTGTAAAGCTTTATAGGAAAATCTAATTAGTTTGATTAACTAGTAAAGTGATCTTTAACTGATTTAATGCAACAATAATGATCTACGAAACTAGAATCACTTTACTACACACTACTGTATTTTCTAATTACAACTAGAAGCTTATAAGTAACTATAATAAACGATTGCAACACTCACCCAATCCTTGGGGAACACTATAACTGTATTTATTTTGACGTATAAATTTTATAATAATATGCAAAACTAATTTCACTTGTATGCACAGAATTGAAAAAATAGTTAAACGAGCCCGTCTTCATAGATGACGAAATAGCAGTCTCTGAGCCGCCGCTCGGTCGTCCCAACGTATCAATTTTATATTCGACATACCCGCGACCATCGCCTTTATCATAGGAGTTTCATAACAAGTGATAGCTCCCGGGTTTGCCTTGGAGTGATATTTTTTTATGTAATTATTTTGAATATAGAATTTTATTGGTTGACGAATATATATAATTAATAGTGATGAAATATAGTTATAGTAAATTGTTTTGTTAATTGTATGTTATTTTTTAATTAAGTTAAGTTTTAGGCCATTACGTTACAATCCATTTCAAGTAAAAAATTCGTTGCATAATTTAGGACCATTTTTTAGTATTTTTACACACGTTGGGTTACATTATCGAAGTTTTCATACGGAACCCTAAGTTTTTTGAAATTACACTATAGCCTATACTTACCAGAGCTAATGTAGCATTCAAATGGTAAAAGAATTTTTTTAAATCGGTCCAGTACTTTGTGAGCCAATAAGTTACAAACATACTTACATACAAACTTTTCCTCTTTATAATATTAGTATAGATTATATAAACTATAGACACCATATATGAGCTTAAGAATATTAAAGACAATCTTTAGCATCTGCTGCCGAACTAGGATTTACATTCTGTATTTCAGCATATAGAGTGCCTCAATCGTCAGGTTTAGACAATTACTTGTATTCTGTAAGGTAGTGAAGTTCCTGATCAATGCTGATATAACAAGAAATACTTATTTGATTTTAATTCTAGTAAACTAGTAAAATAAAAATTGTGAATTATGAATGACCTCTCTGTGTGTAATAAAAACTTGGTTCATTGATTTGTTCAATAACTAGTATATGCCCGCGACTTCGTCTACGTGGAATAATTGGTTTTTATACAAACTTTAAGCAGGGGCACTTTCCATTCTTTTAAAGCGATTTCTGAGATAAAAGCTATCCTATGTCCTTTCACTTGACTAAAACTATCTATATAGCAAATTTCAACCAAATCGGTTCAGTAGTTTAAAAGTGAAGAGGAAACAGACACACGTCTAACAAACATACAACACTACATTTAAACAACTATACAAACACATTTATAACTATAATATAATTTTAGTATGTATTTTGATTTCACGTCGCTATTAAGGTCGCTTCTTAAGACATCATAAGCATGTCTTCATATCATAAGTTTCTTAGACCTGATCTTCAGGAATTTATTATTTTTATTTAATCACAATAAGAAACCAACGCCCTTGTCGACAGCTATCGAGACGGCACGATCTACTTGAAGGATTCGGCCGAGTACACGAAGAACTTGCCACAATATTGGCAAAGGGATACTTTTCCGGAACTAGTGGATACTAACGTGTGTTCCAAGGATGGGATGTTAGTGCCGGCCCACAAATGTATCCTGGCAGCCAGACTCGACTACTTCCAGGGAATGTTTATGCACTCTTGGACTGAGGTATGGTCTTACTTAAGTATCCACTAGCTAACTTGAACCAATGGCGGAGCTCGATGGCGCAGGTGGAAAGCGCGTTCAGCTGCGATCGTTGAAGTTAAGCAACTTTCACAGTGGTCGGCCATTGGATGGGTGACCAAAAATCTTCTATCTCGAATTCCTCTGTGCTTCGGAAGGCACGTTAAGCCGTTGGTCCCGGCTGCATCTGCAGTCGTTAGCACCCGCCAATCCGCACTAGGCCCGCGTGGTGGGTCATGGCCCAATCTCCCTATTTCAGCCATAGGGAAGGCCTGTGCCCCAACAATAGTAGGCCGATGATTATGATGAACTTGAACTAAAAAATAATATTTTACTTCAAAATAGAAAACCCACAAGGGCATCCTAGACGCCAGACTCTAGACTATCTGGTGGTGTAGTTACTCTGTGTTTTAACCTAGTCATAATTATGTGCAAAGTGTGGCAAATGAGCTTATGGCCCGCCCTTTACCTACTCAAATATTCATTTGAATTTTGCTCAATAAAATTACAGACGCTTTGTTTTGCCTAGTTTTTTTTTATCTTGGAAGAGTGACAAAGGAGCCTTTGGCCCGTCTGATAATAAGTAGCCACCATATGCCTGTGAATATTTTAATTAAGATGTGCATCGCACACCTGAGGGCCAATCGTCTAACGGGATTGCTTAGGCTATCGCTATCGCTTACGATATCATTATGTTATTTCTGAACGCCGAAGGCTTTTAAATGCCTCGCGCTCGTTTTTTTCATTTACATTAGTAATAACAATTTAAAATAAAATTGCGTGAGGTATTTAAAAACCTTCGGTGGTCAGAAAGAAAAAAATGAAATCGATAGCGATAGCCATAGCAATCCCGTTTGCAATTGAGCCCCCGCCAACCAACCTTATTCCTTGAAAGTTATAAAACTTTCAAGGGATGGGGTTAATTGATTGGTAAGAAGGTTGGTAGTGAAGTTACTCACAAAAATTGGGTTTCAGTTTCCTAGGGTTGAATCTCGATTTGGGTGCGTCAATTCTAGCGAAAATCCATTGTATTGTATAATCCTTGTTTCTCTTTTATATAAATACAGTTATAATTAAGCAGTCTAGTTTGTTAAGAAGTATCATTTCTCCTGTTTCAGAGTAAACTGTTATCGAAAGTGACACTACCAATAAACCATGGCATCCTTCTTCCGGTGATAAACTTTTTGTATACCGACTCTTGTCCTGAACTGGAGACGTCAGACAGTATTGACTTCATCTGTAGCATGCTCATAGTGGCCGATCAACTGTTCATAAGCCGTCTTCGAGAAATGTGCGAGGTCGCCTTAGCTAATCTGATCACGCTAAAGAACTGCGCTGAGCTCTGCCAATTCGGCCATACTTACAATGCCACCCAACTGAAACAGTGCTGCATGGAATTCATATCGCTAAACCTCGCCAACATACTAGAAAACAAAACACTGGATGTCATAGAAAAAGATTTACTAGACGACATATCCAAATACTATTGCAAATTCAACCCCATCATGTCCTGTAGAGTTATAACGCCATTTTGCTGCGCTCCAACCGACGAGACGATTGAAGAATACGCTACCAACTTTCCCGTCAATTGGGACTATACAGACGAAGATTTAAAAAAGGACGAAGCTTACATAGATTCTTCAAAAAAGAAAGGAAGGAACTCCAAGAAAATTGAGTACACGGCGAACGAAAAAGCCAGAATGAGATACGAATCTGTGAATTCGGTGTCGTCGCTTGATCTGTCGCATGAAACCTCGGGAGACATAACGCTGTCCCTCAGCAATATATCGAAAGAGACAGAGAAAATCGCTCGCGACAAGAAAGAGAAGTGGATAGAGGTACCGTCCGCCCAACAGAAACAACAGAAAGTGATTCAAGCTAGATTGAAAGCTGTGTCCAGTGCAAAAGATATTTTAAACGAACCGCAAGCCGAACAATTCACGAGGTTGACGAAAAATAACTCGTTTAGCACCAGCAGTCAAGAATATAATCCGACCACTTCGCGCATGTCAGTGTCCCCAAAAGAATCTCCCCTTCCTGAATTGGCCAGAAGCCCCCAAGGGAATCTGGTTATAAGTCACGTCGGACCGAAGTTGTCGCAAAAGCAAAGGAAGAAAATGGCAATACTTGGAGAGAGTTCAGCGCAAAATTTCAATGACAACTTTGGTAACAAACTGATCATAGGAAGTCCCCCAGAAAAGCCGAAAAACCCGTGGAAGATTTGCGAACCTCCTGTGGCCAGCAGCAGTCCTAAAGCTAAAACTATTGAGTTCAACCAGATCCTCACTGATCAGAAGAAACAAAAGGAGGACCACTCCAGAATCATGACCAAACCACTAGCATTGACGCAGGTAATATAAAATCCATACTAATTCATAATATCCATACTAATATTATAAATACGTATTCGTAATTCGAATGTGAGTAGTATATTTTTTATAACACTAGTGATGTCGTCGAAACCTAATGGCATAAAATCTTGAGCTGCTTAATTGCAGACGTCGCCAATGTATTTTTTGAACCCACTTACATTTTATTTTTGTTTGTTTTGATTATGCAAAAACTTTTTTTTTTTGTAATATTACTATTATGATTGTTTGACATTGGTGTGGATTCTGGCATGAGTCTCTAAACTTAAAGCTAAATTTAACATCAAATTCTAGTTTTCATTTTGTATAGATAATGACAAGGATGCACTATTGTCAAATTTAGGTTTAGAGAATGATGCCAGAATCGATACCAGTATTTATGTTATTAGTCTATATTATTATGATTGGTGTATTGTGATATTATTTATGTACTTGTAATGATATGATCTGTGATTGATCGAAATAAATGATTTTTAATAAAATTGAAAAAAGTAATTAGGTTATATTACTAATTCAGTATAATTTCCACAGCTTGAAGATAAAGCAATAGAAGAATTGGAGAGGTTCTACAATGTCCATGAAATTGATGACGAGCTTATCACAGTTCGACGTATTGAGCTTCAAGTGTTTTCTCCACAGTGGGTTCACACAAATCCAAAGTGATAATTATGTGCTATTTTATACTTTACATAACTTAATCTATACTTGACATTACATTAAGAACTATAGAAATAAATGTTATTTTTTAAAAGTTGTTCTTTGTTGTTATATACCTCCCTTGTTGCAAATATAAAGAGACTGTCATCTACTATATAAAAATAAGTCGGGTTTTCCTTCCTGACGCTATAACTTCAGAACGCACGAACCGATTTCCACGGTTTTGCATTCGTTGGAAAGGTCTCGGGCTCCGTGGGGTTTATAACAAAGAAAATTCAGGAAAAATTATAAAAAAAAAATCTTCTTTTAATCACCAAACGAAATGTTACATAAAAAGAAGCCCTCTGGTGGCGAAACGGAGTTCGCCGGGTTTGCTAGTAATTAGTAAAACTGGTGATTGATTTACTTTCTTCACCAAATATTAAGAATATCTTTTTCATATAATAAAATATAAGTGTGAGCAAAATAATAAATAATAAGATAACTAAGTAAACACATTTTCTCTTTTTAAATAATCACATTCTATGTTGCTACATACTTGAAACTGAAATAAAAAATTTAAATATCTATGAAACTTGCCAAGGCTAACATAGGTATGTTAGCCTTGGCAAGTTTCATAGATATTTAAATTTTTGACTGTATGAGCACATGCAAAACCAGGGCCAACAAGACTAAAATAATTTAAAATAATCTTACTGAAATATATTTAATAATAATTAATGTCTACTTGTCCATAAACCCTAGTCAATTAAAATAAATGATTTCAAAATCTTGCCAGTAAGTTTTTTATTTGTATGCCCACAACCCAGGGTTTTCAAGACACATACTACAAAACAGCTGAATTTTTTACAAAAGATTTAAGTGCATTTGCCCACAATCGCACCTAATGTTAAGCAATGATGTGGTCTAGGCTGGAGCACTCAAACTCAAATAATACTTATGTATTCTTACCTTGAAGGTCCCTATATTTAATGTATCAGAGAAAACAGACACAGGAAGAGTCCCATTCCCTAGCAGTATGCTTGATAAAGGAGGTTGCGAATCATGAGGTGCAGCAGGTGAGGTATGTCAACCACGTACAGTTGAAAATCCTGTCCATTTTTCATCAGCATTGCTACTAAGTTTGGTTGTAAATACAGACTTAAATATTTGGGAATTCCTAGTCACTACACATATATTTACACCATGTAGAAATTGTTCTGACCTTCGAAGAAAAGTAAATTAGACAAAATTAAGTAACCAGATGTATAATTCCATACTTTGTAAAAACTACACACAACTATTACTGCATTTACATACCCTAATATAATTTAAGCACAACCTAACATTTACATATCATTTCGTTGGGGGAAATCTTTTCAAAAGTTGGTTTAATTGTCTATGTGTTAACTCCTTCTCTCCTGGCACAAGAATTCCTTTCTTTCCTTGGTCACGTTGAATTTTCATCTTCTCACTGTAATGATTATAGCATGTTTGAAATGAAGATACCTCTTTCAAACACTCTTGCTGATCGAACTCAAATTTCTTAAAACATGCGAACATAATAGCCATTTCTTGCATACAGACTGCTTCTTTCATCCTATCCCCTTTGCCAGATACAAACTTCCGCAGCTGCAGGGGTAAAAGCATTTGAAACGGAACAGGTTCTGTTTGTGGCCTCCGGGCACTATTTTGTTTTGGGGCCGACAATAGAGCAGGATTAAGTCTCATGTTAGAAAATATTATTTAAATATTTCTTTATGATACAGCGATTTTTTTCATAAATAGGCTAATTATTTTGAGGTTACCAAATCCAAGCAACAAAAATTACTGTCACTGTCATAATGGCAAAGGACTTAGAAAGTCCATACGGCCCTGTTTGTAATCTTTTATTCCTTTAAAGTGTTTTGGCTCATTTTCGTGGCGCGTACTGTACTTCGAACCCCTTATTAATAAACAAATACTAAGCTTGGTTTAGTTTCTCTATGTTTTGTCTCTGTTCATTAGTAACAAATGAGCACTTGAGTGGTATGAACAAAACACTGCGTAAGCTTATTCCTTGTTTATTAATAGGGGGGCGAAGATCTTGAAGCAGCATATTCCTCAGTACTGAAATGAACAGCAGAAGAAAAAGATATGGTCCAGTGGTGTCGATTCTGACATGATTCTCTAAACATAAAAGTAAATTTAAAATCAGACTCTCCTTTTTATTCCGTATAAAGAATGACAAAGATACACTGTTGTCAAATTTAAATTTACGTTTACAGAATCAAACTAGAAACGACAGTGACGGATTTTCTACAGTTTGTCTATAAAGTCGTGACAGGTTAAATGATGGCGCCACTAGTATGCATGTAGCAACCCTGTACAGTCGGACCAAAATGATTTTGATACTAGCAGTTCATTCAAGTAAAATAGGTAATTAATAAGACACACTATACAGTCGTATTTTGTTTCTGTTTTATATATAGTAGGTACCTATGCTTATAAAAAGTTTAGCCAAGCATATTTAATTGAATCAGAATAAAATTATTATAGATAAAATAGTACTTTATAGTGTAAATGTGTGTAATGTTGGTGATTACCGCTGAGGTACCATTGAGACCAGAGCCGTTAGGTAATCATCAATACACACAAGTATCATCATACGACGTTTTTTAACACACTTGTTAAGAAAATAATACTAAAAATCTTTGTGACTATTTCTTTCTTTGGTCGGCCTTGCCTATTTTCCCAGGAGTTTCAAATTTCCGTCATTTTTAAAACCTTCGTTGACTATCCGACTCTCTGATTTTCCTGAAAAAAAGTAAAAAAATATGTAATGGAATAGAAACAATAACTTATTGACATGAAGCAATTAATTCAAAATTGGTAGAACACCTGACCGAGTTGAACCTTAATAACGTATCAAAAGAAATGGTCGTACTACAATATTACCTATTTACAATCTCAATCTAACCTAAAAATGTGCAATGTAAACAATGCCTTTTTTGGTCTCAAAATCGTAAATTGAGTAAATTTGTAACTTCAGGCAGATTACAAACAAATAGTTACACGATTACATACCCGTCATAGATGCTGTTCGCCCATAAACATCATCCAAAACCCACATAATTCGTCCAGCTTGGTACTCTTCGAAACATCGCTGGAAAACTTTAAAAAGCACTTCCCGCGTGCCACTCCGATTTACTTTACTCATTTTTATACCTTTCTACGTAGTTTCGCCTTAATTTATTACAGTTTAATCCAAACAATAAAAAACACAAAAGGAAAACTGTTCCACAACCAGTGTTGCCAGTACCTGCGTCGTGTTTCGGACGATTCGAAATCTGAAAAGGGACGATTTTTAGTCAAAAAGGACGGCCTTACAGAAATATTAAACTAAAGGCTGAACTATATTTATCTTACGTGTTGTATTGTGGCGCAATCTGCTTCATACATTTAGTACGGTTAGCACTAAGAACTATACCTGTGTGTCGCGATGTTTCGACAGCGTTCTCACTTTAACCATAATTGTATGAAAGAGATAGCTCTCTGATGTGTTACAACACAACACGACAGGTAAGTGTAGTTCTATCATAATGCGGTTAAATGAAAAAAAAAGCGAGTGTGTTTAGGAACACACGACTGAAGTGAAATTTCTATAGCTCCAATGATCTGAAATTTGATAGAAAAAAACTACCAATCCGCGCTGGGTCCATTATCACACACCAATCCGCACTGGGTCCATTGCCACCGACTAATCCGCGATGTGTCCGTTATCACCCTCCAATCCGCACTGGGTCCATTATCACCAACTCATCCGCGCTGGGTCCATTATCACCCACTGGATCCGTTATCATCCACCAATCCGCACTGGGTCTGTTATTATACACCAATCCATACTGGGTCCGTTATCACCCACCAATCCGCGCTGGGTCCAGTGTCACCCACCAGTCCACACTGGGTCCAGTATAACTTCTTATAGACTTTGATAACTTTCCTTCACAACTTGTCAGATTATTACAGCAGTGTGCTACAAATAACATGTTGGTGATTTTTTTCCTGCACTATTACAGATTTAAAATTTAATTCCTTAAAATTTAATTCCTACATAATGTTTTTTAGGTTTTTGCAGATGCAACAGTCAAATCCAATGCAATACTTTCTGGAAATTATTGAACATAATGAATTTAAACGTTTAGTACATTTGTCTTTAAAGACTGGACCTGCAACAGATGCTGATATAAAGGGTCATATCCGGTCAATCCGCGCTGGGTCCAGTGTCACCCACCAGTCCACACTGGGTCCGCTATCATCCACCAATCCGTGCTGGGTCCATTATCACCCACCAATCCGCACTGGGTCCATTGCCACCGACCAATCCGCGCTGTGTCCGTTATAACCCTCCAATCCGCACTTGATCCATTATCACCAACCCGTCCGCGCTGGGTCCATTATCACCCACCAACCCGCACTGGCTCCGTTATCATCCACCAATCCGCACTGGGTCCGCTATTATACACCAATCCACACTGGGTCCGTTATCACCCACCAATCTGCGCTGGGTCCGTTATCATCCATCAATCCACGCTGGGTCCGTTATCACCTACCAAGCCAAGCACTAGATTTATGTATTTTGTTACAGGTATTGTTCATTGTTTACCGATGAGTCACCGATGACACTAATCGTAACACGAAAAGGGAAGATGCATATATAATATATATGAAAATTTTATGATTAAAATGTTAAAAAAATATAAAAGAAATGCCACTGCAACGTTTTGACGTGACAACGTCTTAAATTAGGTTGCGGCTGGGAGTCACTTATGAAAAAGTGTAACGCTCGGTAACGTTACGATGAGTCTCTCGTGTTAAGTTTAAGTTTACATGGACAATGTTTTAGTAAACAAAATATATTTCTATAGTTAAAATTTGTGCAATTCTTATTTTCATTCAATTCCTTGTTCCTATTGTGCAATTTAATTATAATCATATCAATAAATATTCTACCGAGAAAAAGACGTTGTCACGTAAAATCTTCGCCCGTAAAACCGACTTTACAGGCAACCATTTTTTATTTTACATAATGTTGTTTTTTAACAATTATTACGAATTAAAAATACTTGAAACGGAACGTATTTTAAAACACCAATCAGCGTTTAGTGACGTCACTCCTGTTATGACAACTTCTTTGAGGTTATGGTTGTTAAAGTAAATATTA